AAAACTAAAAATAGAAAAAAAAACCAAATATATGTAAATAAAATAAATAAAATAAAATGAGAATAAAAAATAAAAATAAATAAAAAATAAAATTAAATATGTTGAAACTTACAACAGTGATTTCTTTTTCTTCTATTTCTTTGTGTTTTATTTTTTTTCTTATTTTTTCTTCTATTTCTTTTTTGTCTTCAGTTTATTTTCTTATTTTTTGTTTAGAATTTTTTTATTTTTAGTCTTTTCTATTATTGCTGTAAGTTTTCAACATATTTGATTTTTTTTGTCCGTAAATTATTTTCTTCTTTTTTTGTTTAAACATATTTTATTTTTTTCTTTTTATTACTATTTTTTAACTTTTAGTCTTTTTCATAAGTGTTGTAAGTTTTCAACAATTTTTGTCTTATTTTTTCCTTTCTTTTGTTGTGTACGTGTTTATTCTCTTATTCTTTTTTTTTGTTTGATAAAAAGTTTATTCTCTTATTTTAAGAAGGGTAAAATAGATAAATTAATTAAAGTTTATAGTAATATTAAAGATGAGTTTGGAAGGAAGAAATCATAGAGGTAATTAATTGAAAAAAATTAAGAAGTATGTGATTTAAAACAAAGGGTTTGCTTTTTTTGCAGTTACTGCAGATAAGTTATCTGCAGTAAGTCCAATACGACGTCATTTTGGGACGGAAATCACGGTATTTTTGTAATTTTAATTTATTTCAGGTTATTATAGTATTTATAATTACAATTTTCTAATTTTTCAATCTAAAACGACGTCGTTTTAGAAGTAAATGCAGATAACTTATCTGCATTAACTGCAGGAATATTTTTCTCTAAATCAAAACCGTAAGTGTTAAAAAAAAAAAAAAAACACATAAGAGAGTTTTTAAACTTTTCCCTTTAATAATATATATTTGTTAGGATTTTCACAAAGTACTCAGTCCACTTCCTAGTGAAATACAAGCCTAATCTGACTTTGAATCCTTTGATATCAGAGTCACCCAGATCCAAGAGAAGTCCGTGGTGAAGGATCATCATCAGTGGATTAAAGCTACACCACCATATTAAGTAGGTCCAACACTATATTTTAGCTTAAAATCTTAAGGCATTGATTCGTGAGTTCTTCAATTTATATACACTTTACTTATTTCATTGTCAATCGTTATAAAATTCATCACACTTGAATATTCTAATAATATTTATAATTATTTTATATCTATATATATATAGGGTTTTATAATTCTCATTTAACATGAGAATCCAAATTTTCTTACACACCCTTCGATTTTCGTGCTGACATGGGTCCTACATATAATTTTTTCTAACACCTGGGTCCCACATGTTTTTTATCTCTACAACATGAGAATTGAATTCTCATTTAACATGAGAAAATCAAATCCCATATATATATATATATATACATATATATATATATACATATATATATATATATGTATATATGAGGTAGGATCCTTTGACACCGGTGTCAAATTTCAAATTTGACACCTCATCTGAGAGCCGTTAGATCAAAAAAGATCAATGGTGTCACATGCTGTCAAATTTGAAATTTGACAAATTTGACACCTCATCTGAGAGCCGTTAGATCAAAAAAAATCAATGACTCTGATTTGTAAGCATGTGACACCATTGATCTTTTTTGATCAAACGGCTCTCAGATGAGATGTCAAATTTTAAATTTGACACCGGTGTCAAAGGATCCTACCTCGTATATATATATATATATATATATATATTGGGGCGGCACCGCCTTTGCTTTATCCACCACAACAACCCCTTAAACTACAATTGTACTGTGTAATGTCCGCAGCACAATCCATTTGGCCTAAACAAGTGTCCTTATTTTTCTTCACACATTTTTTTTTCATTTTAAATATTTTTTTTTTTCATTTCAAATAACAAGTGTCCTTATACTTTTTATTTTTTCTGATATTTTATTTTCTTTTATTCCTTATAACATGTAGTTTATTGTATTCAACATCATTGCAGAGATCAAACGTTAACGGGAAGTCGGGAACTGCTTCGATATTATTTTAGGGTAAATATGTTATATATGAGAGTCAGTCTATCTTATATTGTGAAATAAAATTAAAGTAGATCCCATTAAAAAAAAAGTTCAAAATGAGATTTATATTGATTTTATTTCACAACATAAGATACATTTTCTTATGTAACATAAAATTAGTTTTACTCATTTTTTTAATGGATAATAATATTTATTGTTTCCAATAATCACCTACCAAGGTTTGGTAATTGCTGCATTTGATTTTTATTTGGCAAAATCCCAGAAGCCTAAAATTAAAAAAAAAAAACAAATTGAAAATGGAAATAGTACCTTCTACCTCATCAATCACCCGTTTTCAGTGTCAAAGTTCAAAATTATTTCCAAAATTCTTATCCAATTAATTACTTAATCACCATAAAATCAAATTAAGGCAATACATAAATGTGAGTATCATATTCAAGATTATTGACTAACTTAATAGATATGTTTTCTTATAAGGATATTTTAGGTCTAATTTTAATACGAGGAGAGATATTCTCACTATAAAATTTTTTTACTACCAACTTACTACCTATCTAATCACCATTAGATTAACATTTTTTCTTTCTTTAATTTTTTTTTTTTTTTGTATAACTTCTTTAAATTTTTTTTAACATTCTCTCTCTTTGATCCAACGGTGATCTGATGGCTAGTAAGTTAGTAGTAAAAATTTTTAGTAGTTAGAATAGGGGAATGTTATACTTACAACTTATTTTCTTTACAACCTCTTACAACCATATATCTTAACCGTTGATTTCCGCCAATCAACGGTTATCATTTATTGTGATTTAATAATTAATTAATAAATTTAATTTGTGAAAATTTTAACCGTTGATTAACGGAAATCAACGGTTAAGATATATGGTTGTAAGAAGTTGTAAAGAAAATAGGTTGTAAGTAGGGGTGAAAGTGGGCTGAGCTGGGCCAAGCTTTGCCCCGAAAAGCCCAAGCCTACGTCAAAAAATTTCAATTTGGCCTGGCCCAAGCCTAGTATGAGTCTAACTGTTAGCTTGGTTTGGCCCGTTTATAAAAAAACAAATGGTCTGGCTTGACCCGTTAGCCTGTTAATTTTTAACTTCCAAGTAGAACCATGAATCAACTTTACAAAGTACTCAAATTCAGTTGCTACACCAAAAATCATAATTTCAACGTCTAAACAGAATCATGAATCATAACAAAACTCATACAATATGCACTTAAGTCATTTTCGAAAGCAAAATGCTCAAACTAAATAACATATATTTCATCAGATCCAATAAACAAATCCATACTATGTAAATTAAAATAACTACATGAATCCAACAAACAAATCATGATGTTTGTAGTAAGGATAACTCTCCCAAAAATCATTTAATATATTCATTTATACAATCTAACATGTTGAGATGTTGGTTCCTCCTATAGAAGAAATAAAATAAGATTTCTATTAAAATATAGTCGAATATAATTAAGTTATAAATAATTGCAATTGATTAAATTTATATCTTTTTTTTTTTTTTTATAATCAAATTTATATCTTTTGTTTTTTCTTCAAGACATACTTACTCTATTTTATTTTATTTAAAATAAATAGTACAATATAGGCTGGTTGTGGGCTTATAGGCCCGGCCTTTTGAAAGTGGGCTTACGGTCTTTTTATTAAACAGACTTTTTTAAGGAACAAGCCTGGCCTATTATACAAAATATACTAGGTCAGATCTGGCCTGATGTAGGCCGAGCCGTATGCCACTGTAGGCCGGCCCGGCTCAGTTTCTCCCATAGTTGTAAGTATAACCTTCCCCGTTAGAATATCCTTTCTCTTTTAATATTACATGAAATTAAGGTATTTCCCTAAAAAAATTTAAGGATACATCATACATGTCTAAAGTCTACCTATAATTAAAATTTTCAGTCTAAATGTTTAAGGATAAATATTTAAATTTTTAAAATATAATAATTAAAAGAAACTCTTAATTACGATAATATCTAAAAAATTAATCTGCTAGCAATAATTTATAAAAATAGCTCAATGAAAAAAACCTAATAGTTAAGAAAATGAATTTTAATATAATCAAATATTAAATGCCAATGAGACATCAATATGCAAAAAACGGCTACTAATTACTAATTTAATTCATTTATTCAATTAAAGGTAAACAATAAATGCATTTAATACTTTTGAAATTATAACTTTTGAAATAATAAAATTACAGTTCTACAAACGAGTGTTAAAAAGACTTTTATTAAAGATTAAGCAAATAATATTCAAATTTAAATAATTTATTTAATATTTTTTTAATTCTTAATAAGCGTCTTAAAAATACTAAATGACATTTTTCATAAAATTGGTGAATTAATATTTTAAGAAGGTTAATTAACATACGGGCTTTATATTTCTCATGTGATAGGAATCAAAAACTTTTCTTATGCATACTCAACCAAAGTGGAACCCATTATGAGAAAGAGAAAAAATAAATCAAAAAAGTAAAAGCACGTGGATTGATGGGTGAGTAGGAATTTATTCTCCTCTCATGCAACATGAGAACTTCGTTACCCTTAACATTATACCTACCAATTTATCTGTCATAAAATTATTAAAATTGGGGGCAGGATATTCTTACACCGGTGTAAGAGTAGAAGTTTTACACTCAATCTTGACCATTGATCCACTTGTATCCAATGGTTCACATTACTAAAAAATTTGAACCATTAGATATAAGTGGAATCAGCGGACAAGATTAAGAGTGTAACTTACACTGGTGTAAAATGATCCTAACTCTTAAAATTGATATTTGAAGAAGGTTTGATAATTTACCTACCAATTTATTTCATTTTTTGGTGTTTACTTTTCTCGCTCCCTACTTTTTATTTTTCTTCTTTGATTGGCAATTTCCCTTTCACTGCTAGTGCTCAGGATAGTATATGCTACGCAGCATAAAACTTAAAAGACAAACAAAGCAGAGTAGGAGAGAGAGAGAGAGAGAGACACAATCACACAGACAGACAACATTGTGTATTGTGAAACTGTGTTTGTGTGCATAACACAGAGATCTAACCAACATGGGGTGACACAGAATTTTTTAAAAAATAAAAATAAAAAATCAATAAAGAATAAAAGCAGCTGAACTTGTTCATCGCCGCCGGTGGAAATCAGAACCCAATAACACAAAGTTTCAATTTTTACTTCAATTTTTGGTGAGTAACTTGATATCTGAATTATAGGCTTTTTGTGTTTCTCTTCTTGAAGAATTGATCTCTTTCCCATGCTTGTAACTGTAACCTCCTCCTCCTTCCCTCTGATCACTGCCTGTTCTCAATTCAGTTCTCATTTTTTTATTGATCTCTAGTTTCTTCTTCTTCTTCTTCTTCTTTTTTTTTTTGTGAATTTTAAGTTTAATCATTTTGGTTTGATTGATCAGGTTGTTCCAATTGTATGGTTTCCATTTCATGCATGATCATCATAATTATTGTTAAAATTTGATAATAGATTGTTGATTTGCCAAATTCTAATACTTTTTATTTTAGTTTTGGGTTTTCTGTTGTTTTAATTGGATTTTTTTTTTGCTTGATCAGGTAGTCTGTGCTCATCAGATATTTGTTCATTCAGTTTTGGAACTTGAGGTCCAATTGATCAGGTATTTTTTGTGCTGCTTCAGATCATTTGGAGAGAAAAAAAAAAGGGTGTGACTTTGATTCATCTGAAAGTGAACTTTTGTGTTCCTTTCGTTTTTTGTTTTGCATCTTTGAATCTTACAAGTATTAATTTCCTACAGCATTAGAAGACAAAGTGCTGGTGTCCTTTGCTGGAGTGATGGCGACTCTGTCTCATGCAGATTCAAGGAGAATGTATTCATGGTGGTGGGACAGCCACGTAAGCCCCAAGAACTCAAAATGGCTCCAGGAAAATCTAACAGGTAATGCCTTCTATCTTTGTGACTTTGGTTGCAATTCTGTTTAACATGTTCACATAATTATTTTTCCTGACTTGGCACCTTCATGTTTGGAGATTGAATTGCAACTTTTATTGTTTTCTTATCCAATGGGGAAATAAATGTTTCTGGCATCAAACTGGAAATGAAGGCTAATTGACCTTTTTTACCCCCTCTTTTATTTCTTTGCTATCTTATATAATTACTGAGATTGATATGAGGCCTTATAAATTATAGTTTAAAAATAAATTTTCTGCTAAAAGCTTTAGAATATTGGACTGGACAATGGAAGTATATTTCATCTTTGGTAATGTCTGGCACAATGATATAATCTGGTTTTAATTCGCTTCCAGTTTCACTTTGGAGTTTACTGGCAGTCATATGATGCACTCAAGTTGAGACGTATAGGCGATATATCGATTTTGATGGAAGAATTCTTCCAAAACTGAGGGCTTGTTTGAAATCTGATTTGAAAAACAGTTTTTTGATTTTCAGAACAAAAAGACCCGTTTGGTAAGGCCTGTTTTGTAAAAAAATAAATTAAAAACTGTAATTTTTTTTAAAAAAAATCAAATTTAGAGAACATGTCTGAGTTTTTGGTTTTTAACTTTCAAAATAAAAAAAAATAGAAAACACATGTTTTCATAACTATTCTACAAAAGAACAAAACAACCAGAACACAATCAAAAAGACCCTCATGTCTGTATTTGTATACATCTTTTTGAATCTTCTTCAAAATTGTTTTCCTTTTATAACTATAGATGTTGAAAAATGAGGTGACATGATTTAGTCCTTCCTATAGGGACATGTTACATGCACTTTGTGTGGTAGTCTGTTAATATGTTAAACCCATATCTACTTCCTTTATTACGTCTTTCTTTTCAATTATATCATTTATTTGTTAATCACTCTGAAAGACATGAAAATATTTGATTTTTCTGTTATCATCGATTTACTGCCCTCTGTCTTTAAACAAACGTGAACTTATCACAATGATATATCCTCTTGCGCAGATATGGATGCCAAGGTGAAGCAAATGATTAAGCTTATTGAAGAAGATGCAGACTCTTTTGCCAGGAGAGCAGAAATGTATTATAAGAAACGCCCAGAGCTTATGAAATTGGTTGAAGAGTTTTACCGGGCATACCGGGCACTGGCTGAGAGATATGATCATGCAACCGGAGTGATCCGCCAGGCCCATCGAACCATGACTGAAGCATTTCCTAATCAAATCCCTATGATGCTGACAGATGATTTACCTGCAGCTTCTCCCTTGGAGACTGAGCCACGTACTCCAGAGACACACCACCCTTCACGTGCATTTCTTGACACAGATGAATCACAAAAGGATGCTTCTGCTCATTTCCATGCTAAAACAGGTTTAAAACAGCTCAATGATCTCTTCATACCTGGTGAACATATAAATCTTGCGAAGTTTGTAGAAGGGCATGCTAAAAGGGGGCTCAATTTTCTTGAGACACAGGAAGAGAGTAGCGAGCTAAACAATGGAAGCCATGATACTAGCGCTCAAGTCTTGTCTGAGTCCGAACGCATGACAAAAGCTGAGACAGAAATTTTGGCCTTAAAGAAAGCCCTCGCTAAATTAGAAGGTGAAAAGGAAGCTGGCTTGCATCAGTATCAGCAGAGTTTGGAGAAATTGTCTAATCTCGAGTTAGAAGTGTCTCGTGCAAGAGAGAATTCTCAAAGTCTTGATGAGCGAGCAAGTAAAGCTGAAGCTGAAGTTCAAGCCTTGAAGGAAGCCCTCTCCAAATTACAGGCTGATAGGGAAGCTAGTCTTCTTCAGTACCAGGAATGCTTGGAGAAAATATCTAATCTGGAGAAAAATATTTCTTTTGCTCAAAAGGATGCAGGAGAACTTAATGAGCGAGCTACTAGAGCTGAAACTGAAGCTGAGTTCCTAAAGCAGGACCTTGCTAGAGTAGAAGCTGAAAAGGAAGCTGCCCTTGTCCAATATAAACAGTGCTTGGAGACATTATCAAAACAGGAGGAGAGATTAGAAGAAGCTGAGGAAAATGCAAGAAGGATTAATGAGCAAGCTAATATAGCTGAAAATGAAATTGAAGCTATGAAGTTAGAAGTTACTAAACTTAATGAAGAGAAGGAAGATGCTGCTCTCCGTTATCAGCAATGCTTGGAGATAATTTCCAGTTTGGAGCATAAACTCTCTTGTGCTGAAGAGGAGGTGCATAGGTTAAATTCCAAGATAGATGATGGGGTTGAAAAGTTACACAGTTCTGAACAGAAGTGTCTTCTCTTGGAAACATCAAATGACACTCTGCAGTCTGAATTGCAGTCTTTGGCACAAAAGATTGGGTTTCAAAGTGAAGAACTTAGTGAGAAGCAGAAGGAATTAGGTACACTTTGGACTTGCATACAAGAGGAGAGATTGAGATTCATTGAGGCTGAAACTGCTTTCCAAACTCTTCAGAATTTGCATTCTCAATCTCAGGAAGAGCTTAGATCTCTTGCTGCTGACCATCACAGTAAGGCAGAAATACTGGAGAATGTGGAATCACGTAGGCAGGCTTTAGAGGATGAAGTACACAGGGTCAAGGAGGAAAACAAAATTCTAAATGAGTTCAAATTTTCTTCATCTTTGTCCATAAAAAATTTGCAGGATGAGATATTGAAATTGAGGGAGACAATAGAGAAACTTGAACAGGAGGTTGAGCTGCGAGTTGATGAAAGAAATGCTCTTCAGCAAGAAATTTACTGTCTTAAAGAGGAGCTTAATGATGTGAATAAAGAACATGAAGGTACGATGGAGGAAGTCAGGTCAATTGGCTTAGACCCACAGTGCCTTGGCTCATCTGTGAAAAAATTGCAAGATGAGAACTCAAAGCTGAAGGAGACATGTGAGGCTGACAAAGATGAGAAAGCAGCTCTTCTGGTAAAATTGGAAATCATGGAAAAACTGTTGGAGAAAAATTCTGTTTTGGAGAATTCACTTTCAGACTTGAATGCTGAGCTGGATAGTGTCAGAGAAAAGGTAAAGGTCTTAGAAGAATCATGCCAATCTCTGCTTGTGGAGAAATCAACTCTTGCTGGTGAGAAGGCCACCTTGTTTTCTGAGTTACAAGTCACAACTGAAAAACTGGAGAAGCTCTCAGAAAAGAACAACCTTTTGGAAAATTCACTATTTGATGTGAATGCTGAACTTGAAGGATTAAGGGTAAAATCCAAGAGCTTAGAAGATAAATACCAGTCACTTGATCATGAGAAGTCCAGTATTTTCTCTGAAAAAGAAACCTTAGTTTCACAGTTGAACATTACTCATCAAACACTGAAAGATCTTGAGAAGCAACGCAGTGAATTGGAACTAAAGCATTTGGAACTGAAAGGAGAAAGGGAGTCTGCACTTCAAAAGGTAGAAGAGCTACTGGTTTCCCTATATTCTGAGAGGGAAGAGAATTCCAGAGTTCTGAAATTGAATGAAAATGAATTGGCTGAGAAGGAATTACAAATTCATATTCTACAAGAAGATGCAAATTGCCAGAAAAAGGAATACGAGGAGGAACTGGACAGAGCTATACATGCTCAAATTGAAATTTTCATCTTGCAGAAATGTATCCAGGATTTGGAGAAAAAGAACTTCTCCCTTCTAGTGGAGTGTCAGAGACTTTTGGAGGCATCCAAAATGTCCGAGAGAATGATATCTAAATTGGAGTCTGAAAATGTTCAAAAACAGGTTGATGTGAATTCTTTGTCTGAGAAAATTAGAATCCTAAGGATTGGGCTGCTTCAGGTTTTGAACACTCTTGACATTAACGGCGTGCATTTCTGTGAGGATATGCTTGAAGAAGACCAGATGCTTCTGAATCATATACATGGAAAGCTTCAGGAGAGACAGAAGTCTTTTGACACAATTTTCAATGAAAGTCAGCAAGTGGCTGTTGAGAATTCAGTTCTGATTACATTCCTTGGGCAGTTGAAAGTAAAGGTAGAAAATCTTGTGACAGAAAGAAGTACCCTTGATGAGGAGTTCAGGATTCAGTCTAAGCAGTTCTTGGCATTGCAAACAGAGGTCGAAAAGATATTGGAGAAGAATCAGGAGTTAAAGTTGACAATAAGCAAGGGAGAAGAGAGAATGGAAGTAATGACAACTGAAATAGACAATCTATGCAAACAGCTGTCTGACTTGGAAAAGAGTCACAACAACTTACAGGAAGAAAGTTGCAAGGTATCTGAAGAGAAAAAATCCTTGATGAGAAGATTTCTAGATCTAGGTGAAGAGAAAAGTAACTTGGAAGAAGATATTTCTGTCTTGATCCATGATACAATAGCTCAATCTAATATGTCTCTGATTTACCAGAACATTATCTTTGAGAAACTCCTGGAACTTAATGAGCTATGTGAAAATCATGATAAACTTGTGGCAGTAAATAATGACCTTGAGGGGAGATTAAATACAACGGTGCACAAATTAGAAAATGCAGAAATGGAAAATTCACATCTTAGAGAGTCATTTGTAAAGTCGAATGTTGAACTAGCATTAGTTGAATCTGTAAATGATCAATTGAGTTGTCAGATTAGGAATGAAAAGGAAATGTTGAGTCAAAAGGAAATTGAGCTTTTGGAAGCAGCCGAGACGCTTCGTGCTTTACACACGGAGAAAACAGAATTGCAAATAATGGTGGAAGATCTGAAGATTAAGTATGATGAGGCCAGGGGGATACTTGAAGAACAGGCTAATCAAATTCTAAAATTGTCCTCAGATAAGGATCATCAAAATGAAGAGCTTGGATACCTTTGTGAAGTGAATCAGAAGTTAGAGTCTGAAATGAAGCACCTACATCAAGAACTTGGAGAAACTAAACTGAGAGAAAAGAATCTGAGTTATGATGTACATAAGAGAACAAATGAGATTGAACAATGGGAAACTCTGGCTTCAACACTCTATGCCGAACTGCAGACTTCTTCCGTCAATGAAGCATTATTTGAAGGGAAGGTCTGTGAGCTAGCTGATGCATGTGATAATCTTGAACGCAGAAACTACTCCAAAGACATGGAAAGTGAGCAGCTAAAAGAAAGAATTTGCAAGTTGGAAGGTGAAAATGGAAGACTGTGTGATCAATTAGCTGCTTATGTCCCAGCTGTCAATGCTTTGAATGATTGTGTAACATCTCTGGAGATGCAGACTCTTGTACATGCAAAACCTCATGACTACAAAGAATCAGAGGTATTAACGTATTATTTAAGTATTTGGTTGTGACTCTCTTGTAGTTTCTGTATGTGTGTGATTTCTGTTGGGGTAGGACATTTGACAGGTTTGGGGTGGGTTAGATCCCCGTACTTGTTGCACTCCTGTGTGCTTTGAGGCATTGTATTGGGATATTGAGCTAAATGTCCAAGGTCAACCCCTTTTATAATGTCTTATCCCATGAAATATGGGGTGAAAATTTTGGAAGATCAGCAGCTACAATTGTGGAATGGTATCTGGTTTTGCAATTCATTTGTTTACCACATCCTTGTAAAATACTTTGCATCTTTCAACTAAATAATAGTTAACGTTGTTAAGATGTAGTCATTTTACATCGTTGATTATATGCGAGCATTTGGGTTTTTGACATACAGTGCATTATATCAGGGATTCTGATTTTTTTGGAATAGATCAGCTTCCAAATCCATTTAATTAAGATAGACTGATTTTTTCCCCATAATTTAGTTCAATAAACTACTTTGTACTATTTCAATGCTAGAGAACTTGTAGAATGTAGGCTGCTCCTTCATTGTATGTTAATGCCAGGTCATTGCTTGGTGATTTTGTAATAAAGTGAAATTAATTTCCTCTTTCTGAACTTTTATCCGACTATTATTTGCATTTTTTTTAAACATTAGATATAATATAGTTTGCTTATAATCACCATTTCCAGGTTAAAGATTTGGTGAATCACCAATACACTGAAAGTGGTCGACAAACAGGTGAAGGTCAGACTGTTATGGCCCCAGATGCACTCCCAGACTTCCAAGACATGCAGAGAAGGATCGAAGCAATTGCAATGGCAGTTAAGCAGATAAGTTTAAAACGCAATGATGAAATGAGAGAGATTCAAGAGTTGAAATCTAGAATTAGCTGGCATGAAGAGAATATCCAAGCAAGCAAGCATGTTACTCAAGTGGATGAAGTAAAGGAGCACCAGCATGAACCCACTAATGAGCAGAAGATGGGGAAATCAAGTCTAGATGTTCCTGCAGAAGAGATTGAAGTTCTGCCTAAAGACATCATGCTTGATCAAATATCCGAATGTTTATCATTTGGGATAAGTAGGAGTGAAACTCTTGACGCTGATGATCAGATGCTTGAGTTGTGGGAAACATCTGATAAGGATGGAATTATTGGCCAGCAAGTTGACAAGACACAGAAGATGGCTGCTGGACCGGCTGACTATCATAAAAGAGACAAATATCCTTCAACAGAGTCTTTGGTTGAAAAAGAGTTGAGTGTAGACAAATTAGAGATCTCAAGGAGAATGACACAGCCACATGAAGCAGGGAACAAGAGCAAGATCTTGGAAAGGCTTCATTCTGATGCACAGAAGCTATCAAATCTCCAAATAACATTACAAGATTTGATGAAGAAGGTGGAAAGTACTGAGAAGAACAGAAAAGGAAAAAGTGTTGAGTATGATAGTGTAAAAGGACAGCTTGAAGCTGCTCAGGATGCTGTCACAAAGCTGTTTGATGCCAACCTCAAGTTGATGAAGAATGTAGAAGAGGGTACCTTGTCTTCTGGTGGGAAGGCTGCAGCAGAGTCAGATGAGAGTGGAAGTGTCAGCAGAAGGAGACTTTCGGAACAGGCAAGGAGAGGATCAGAAAAAATAGGACAACTGCAGTTGGAGGTGCAAATGCTGCAGTTTGTGCTTCTGAAACTGGAGGATGGAAAAGAAAGCAAAGAAAAAACAAGAATGGCTGATCGAAGTCCAAGAGTGCTTTTGCGAGATTATCTCTATGGTGGAACAAGAACCAACAACCAAAAGAAGAAGAAAAAAGCACCCTTATGTGCATGTATTCAACCTCCCACCAAGGGAGATTGATTGTTACCATAGTTTAAAGTACCGGAGACAATTGAGATATTAGCTTTCTTGTTTGTAAATTTTCCTTTCTATAGATGCTTTAATAAGACCCTACATATTTTGATCCTGCTGTACATGTGCCTCATTTACTCATAAGAAGAGGCTGAGATGGAATTTTCGCCATTTCTTTTAATGTTTAATTCTGAATAATCTCCTCTTTTTTTCTCTGGTTTAGACGAGTGATTCATGTTTTGGCTATTACTTTCTTTACAATTGTGGCGCAAAAGACTATTAAGACTCAACAGGCTTGACTCAGCCCCATATAGTAACTAAAAGGCTCTTGCTGTGGACTCTACCTTTTTCGTAGTTCAATTTGTAATTGGGGGAAAAGAAAGGACTTCTCAGGGGAATGATTTGTGATATTTAATGACTTCTAGATTAGTGATGAGTTCTTTTCTTTTTATTTTTGTGTTAGTCATTAGGGTCTAACCACAAAAACAAACAACTACAAAGAACAAGGTCAGAGGGTAGCAATCCCCTTGGCATCACACAGCATCACATTCCTCAAATCAACAGGAGTTACAGGATTCTTATTCCTGGTTCATTCCCGGCTAAATTCTAACTACCTAATTCTACTCATTAGTTTAGTTGTGATGTTTTGATAGTACTTTTAGAGGTTTGAAAACGAGAAACTTATATATATATATATATATATATATATATATATATATATATATATAGGGTTATGATCATTTTACACCAATATAAGTTACACTCTTAATTTTGTCTGCTAATTCCAGTTATATCTAATGGTTCAAATTTTTTAGTAATGTGAGCCATTGGATACAAGTGGATCAATGATCAAGATTGAGTGTAAGATACACCGGTGTAAGAATATCCTGCCATATATATATATATATATATATATATATATATATATATGGGGCAAGATCATTTTACACCGGTGTAAGAATAATAAGTCTTACACCAAATCTTAACCATTGATTTTCTTCATCTAACGGTTAAGATTTATTAGATCTCATTCATTAATTAATTTTTAATTCCCAATAAATCTCAATCGTTGGATGCATGGAAATCAACGGTTAAGATTTAGTGTAAGATTTATTATTCTTACACCGGTGTAAGTTGATCCTATCCCTATATATATATCACAAATTTCAATCTCAATCTTTAATTGACTTTTACTTTATTTGTATCAGCTTATTGGTTATAAATGAATTCTATCCGGAAACATTTTATTTCTTATATTGATATTCCTGTTAAGTGCACCACATTCTCCCCTCCCAAAATAAGGTGATACATATGCATATAGCCTAATAATGTAAGCTTTACTTTTCTGTTGTTTTTTGGCCAGTAATAACTTAAGTTCAGAACTTGCGATCTGTAATCCACTTTAATTTGTTCTAGTTCTATGACGTTTCCACAGGAACACTTTTCAATTCTCAAGGCAATTACTTTACATTTGAATTGATTATCAAGCATGATACATAATGATTCAGCAGCCTACGAAGGAGATTCTATTCTAGCTTAGGATACGAAGTTGAGAAATTACAAGACCCATGCATCTTTCATTTTCCTATGCCTTAAAATCTGCGGAATGATTCACAAACTCTCTTGCCACATATTGTAATGGTTGAAACGAAAACAAGTAAGCTTTGTGAGCTCTTTAAAATATGCTTTGATATATGGCTCAGACATTGTTCCAACCCTCTGATTCATCTTTCCTGGGATTCGGTTTGCAAGCATGGAGCATGAAGTTGCATGCTCCAACAGCCTCTTCAACTGTCAGATAGATCCATTTCTGCCCTATATGTTCTTGGACCTTGGATTTGTTCAGTTTCTTCATCACCTCGCTTCCAGGATTGACCAAAACAAGCTGCATGCAAAAAATAAAATTAAAAAAAAAAAAAAACTAATCAAGCATGCTAAAATTGAAAATTCTATAAGAAAATATTGGTTCATAATTAACAGATAACATGAGAGAAAGAATTACTTGTAGCCCTCTTCTGTCTGCAATCTTCTTCACCTCTTCAAGCATGCTTATTCCACTTGTATCAATGTTCCCAACAGCTGCCAACAAAATTACACAGCAACTTAGACTGGAAATTCAATAACCAAATATTAATTACACTATATTTCTTAGGCCCATTTGCTTACCACTCATATCCATTATTACATACTGCAAACTTGTCTCCCCTGCAGTTTTAATTCTGTCTTCCTCTTCATCAATCCACCTTGTGATCCTATGAACAGTAACCAAGTTTTGAAACTAGGGTAAGTGTCCACTTCTATTGTAGGCCAGAATTTTTTTGCATGCAAGAGAATAACTAACTCCAAATTTACACCAACTTACCTTTCTCTCAAATAACTTGCATTGGCAAAATAAATTGGTGCATCAATCTGTAGAATTAGGATTCCAGAAACATGTTTTGCATTTGGATATTGCTCAACATTTCTGTATATAACAGAATTTGGAATGTTGCCCAAAACATGTGTCCTTGGCCTTGCAACAAATAAAAGTACCCGAAGTACAGATATTGCAACCTACAAGAAAACACATTAATTTCATAAACCTTTATATTAAACTCAGAAGTTAGTGAGAAACATAAAATTTAGCAGAGTGGGAGCTCATTGGTACATACTGCTATGACTAAACCGATTTCAACACTGCCAAACACCACGCCAATATATGCACTCATGCACACGACAAAATCAAATTTGTCAACCTTCCACAGATGGATGGCAGCTTGATAATCTATAAGGCCAAGCATTGCTGATACAATTATGGCTGATAGCACCACCAAGGGAGTGTAATGGAACAAGGGTGTTAGGAATAACAATGTCAACATGACTGCAATTGACATTACAATGTTTGACACCGCAGTCTTGCATCCAGCATTGTAGTTCACGGCTGAACGCGAAAATGGCCCTGAAACATTAATATTGGTTTTTTAAACCACATTTGTTAGCAGATGTAAAAAACGAAAAAGTAATTGATTGATTACTTTTCTTGTGGTTGATGGGTGAAAATAAGCCTGTAAATAAAGCTCATGCAAAAGGCAAAAAGAAGAAAAGGGTATATATATTTTTGTTAGCAATTGGTGATGTTCTGGCTGAGCAAAGCACCGAACTTGTGGGGTGTATAACATTTGGTTCTAATAGTTAATAAAACCTTTACCTGTTGTGAGGTAGCAAGAGGTGAAAGAACCAACTATGTTCATGGTTCCAATAGCTATCATCTCTTTGTTGCCATCAATATGGTAATTTTTAAACATTGCAAAGCTTCTTCCCACTGCTATTCCTTCCTGAACAATATCATCAATGATCAACACTCAAGACCTTGTTGACATCTACATTAACAAGATTAGCATATCTAGTACCTCGTCTATTGCATATGCCATTCATTTCCGAGATTAAAAGTTTGCTCTTCATTTAATAGGAAAATATGTAAAGTAGGGATAAAGGAAGATCAAAATGATTAACAATATAAGTTGTGAATAGATTAAGGGTGACATGCTTATCTTTTGGAAATTTGAGAAACACTGGGATGAAATGGAAAGGGGAGGAATTTAGCTGTTGGAGCAACAAGCTCTAAACTTTTTGGTTAGAATTTTGCTCTTTTTTAAAAACCCTTTATCAAGGGTTACGGTTTAATCTAGTTATAGCATAACATGGCCTCTAATTGTTTTGATTCTGACTCACTTGACATTGTCAGGATAAAATGTTAGCTTACAAACATTTTCCTTTAAGCACTTAGTATAATAATTTTATGCCTTTTGAGAATCAAACATGTAATTTAAATTTTAATATCACTTATAAGATCATGTTTACTAATATTGATTTAAAAGTTATAATTTTAATTCAAATAAAATTATTCTTAGTTAAGCTTGTTAACAAGTGTGTCGGGCATTGCGAGAAAACTTTGGATACTCCTGCTATAGGTAAATCTATGCCAAAAGGAAAAAGTTTTTAGAATTTAAAAAAAATTATAAAGGAAAGCATGGGCTAAAATAAAAAGAAAATTTTTCTCTTTAATAAAGAGGAGTACCGAGTTTGATACTCTCCTAGTATTAAAAAGGAAATTATTTTAAGAGAGAGAAAGAGATAGATAAAAGAAGAGAGAAAGTTGACAAAAAAATAAAAGTGTGGGTCCTATCTCTTTGTAAGAGTGAAAAAATATAAGTTATGTCATTTAAAAGGATAAACACTTTTTCCAATTTTGAAGATAGGCAGAACTATTTTACCTAAAGTTTTCTCCATGTGATCAGACGTGAATTTACGTGATTTTGCCTTTTGAAAGTTTTTTTTTTTTTTTTTAAAGGCACAATGAACCAAATTTGACTATCTAAATCACTTTCAAAGGGGGAGGACCATATGATTAGACTAAAATGCCACAAAATATAATAATGCCCATAATGCTATTGTTTAACATTGTCTAATTTATTTTGGCTAAGGATGTGACTTTTCAGAGTTGTGATTTGTCTCTATTACGTACGTTGTCACGGGCCACGCGTAACTGGGTTAACGTGTATCAATGGCATTACATTAGGCATGCATATATGATATACTAATAAAGAAAATGACGTTGTGATGCCCTTACCGCAAGTGCTATAATGCCAACGACAAGGCCTGTTTTGATAGCTGTGGTCATATAAGGCGACACAAATACCAAATGTGTGAGAGATGGTGGATTTAGCCCCTTCTTCAATTCTCCTATCTGAACATATATATATATATGTACAAATTACAATACACAAACAATACTCCACATCAGATCCCTAACTTTTTCTAAAGGCAATATCTTAAAAAATAGAAATATGATAATAACTTATAATCAGGTAAATACATTAACCCACATAATATTTAGACTTAATCATCGTGTGAACTTTGTACTCATGCTTTTAGAAAAATGATTCATCTGCTAGCTGGTCCTAATACGTATAAGGAATTTCATGGATGGACGGTATCTGTAGGACCCAAATCCAATACTATAAATAGTTGTATTATATATTTGATAAAATCATGATTATATAGCGTTTTAAGATGATATTTTCCCTAAAATAGAATTTGAATAAAAAGAAAAAAGAAAAAGTTTATTTAAACGATAGTTTGCAAGCTAGCAACATGGTATAATAATAACATGTATATATACACTCTAAATTCCACTGGGGTGTGTATGGTTATGAAACTTGTAATTGGAAATGCTCACCACTTGAACGCCGTGCTTCTCGGCGTGAGTGAAATAAACCAGCAGACTTCCCAGTATAACGGACGTCAACGGTGCCATTGCTGACACCCAAAAAAACCTTGGTTGCTTTTTGCTCTGCTTGTCAACGTCACAAACCAAAATTACATTCAATTTTGTATTTAATTAACTGAGAAAACTTAATCACACCTCTTAAATATCAATTCGGGTAAATGATATTATACAAGGCATGTTATATTTACAAACTTTTTTGTTTACAAACTCTCACAAACTACACTATCATGGGAGAACACGGTTACATTATGTTCTCCACGGGAGAAGATAGTGTAATTTGTAAAAAAATTCAAAAAAAATTTGTAAACGAATCCTTCCCCATTGTATAAATAGCAATTTTATAATTTTACTATAATATTAGAGATTAGTGTTTCAAAATAATTTTATTTTTTATACACACATAAAAGTGTGTGGGATCCATATTTTTGTTTCTCTTTTTTTCATATAGCTTCATATAGACCCACATACATTTATGTACGTATAAGAAATAAAATTATCTTGTAAAATATAAAAAATATTAATCCCTTAATATTATAGTATATATAATGCTTTTGTCATGGTTGCAACTGGAGACATCACGAAGGATATAATTAATGTCAATTGCCTCTGAGAAAATTTGTTGACTTTTTTTTTTTTGGTAATAAAATTTGTTGACTTTAACTAGCGGATAAAGAGACAAGTAGCTAGGTTAGGGTTGAAAATAGATTTCAATCAAAAGATTAAGCTGATATTAAAATCCCATTTCTAGAAACATTAGGCATAAATAAATGCAAAGAAAATAAGTAATAGGATTGGGATCTAATTCTTTCACAGTTAATAGTCATGGCTATTGCCTATTGGTGTGAATATATCATTTGGCTGTGCTTTTTTTCTTTGTTTGGTTAGCTTTAAAACCTTTACTTGGAAAAGAGAGTAAAGGATGAGCAAAAATAAATATATAAAAACATAGAATATTGTATAATATTCGGTTAATAATATTAATAAATAAATAGTTTTATAAGGGTATTAAATTAAATATTATATTTTATGCAAATGCATATGAATTTGGTATGACTTACGAAGTATCTTGTGACAAGTAGGAAGAAAATGAAGCAACACCCTAACACAGCGCTTTCCCACCTCCACTGCAATAAATAAATAAGGAAACAAACTCATTTTGGAGTCAAAAAGTAAACACGAAAACATTGCATGACATTCAACCAAATCATTAGTTAGAGCGACCGGAAGAAATTTTTATTTTAAAATATAGTTATATGATACTATAATGTTGGAGCTAGTAGGTAAAATATATAGCTATTAGAGTGTTTCAACTTTAAATTTGTATATACCTGATGAGTTTGGCTAAAAACAGAGCGCATCACTGATACAAGATCAGCCCCATGTGTGAAATGCTCAAGGCCCAGAATCGATTTTAGCTGCTGCAGGCAAACCACCGTGGCTGCTCCTCCCATGAACCCTACTATGGTTGCATGTGACAAAAAATCCACGATAAAACCTAACCTGCACTCCTCAAATGTTGCACATGATTAATTAATACTGGTGTGTGATTAAAATATTTGAGGAAATAAATGTTATTGATAAATTAATACTATCATATCAAGGAAATATAAGATTGAAAGGAGAATCTTATTTTGCTGTTAGGAAAAAACTATTCTCATGTCACATGGGGTAAGTTTTCTTCCTACGCATTCTTCGATAACCGTGGAATATTTTTTTTTTTTAGGTAGTGGGTCCCACCACTATGTTTCTACAACATAAAATTTCTTCTTTCATGCAACATGAGACTAGATAAGCCCTTGCTATTATTTTATACTTTATCGTACAGAATAACATTACTTTTAATAGTAACTTATCAGTATATATCACTTTTTTTTATTATACATAGATATATTAAAACTAGTTAAAATTATTCAACAAAAAAGTAATTACTACATAATATTGAGTTTAAAACAAATGTAAAAGTTGCTTGAATAGAAAGTGAGTTTAGAGTATTATAAATTATTAATAAAGATTCTACCTAAACAGACCCAATGCAGCTTGCAAAACTCCAGCAAAGAATGTTGCAGTGAAAGCAAGGTGGAGGAAAAGCTTTGGGTTTTCGTTGGGATTAACCTCATTACTCAACATGGAACCCATGAGAAGCGATCCAACGGCCACAGTCCCCACTGCCAAATCCCTTGAACTACCCATCATGGCATAAATCAACGGTGGTATAAAGCTCGAATCTGCACACATATTTACCACATATACCAAAATAAAAAATAAAAAATTATTAGTGAAACTTACCAAAATATTTAATATGATAATGGGTTGTGAGTAATTGAGTTAGTCAAATTATAAAAGGCTAAGTAGTTAATTGTTGATGATGAGTAGCAACTAATAATTAACTAACTACCCACATAGTCCAAGAATTGGAGGGAGGTTGGCGAGCTTGGCATAACTGATGCCTTGTGGAATAGCCAAGCTAGCGATGGTGATGCCAGCTATAAGATCAGATTTCAAGAACTGAAAGGTGTAGCGTGGTCCCCACTCAAAGATTGGGAAGAAGTACTGAAGCCCAATCACCAATCTCTTTGATGCTGTTTGGTTCTTAAACCTCCTTAAAGGATCATCTGGAAAAAATGTCTCCTTTAAAGAGTACTTTAGAGACTTCGAAAATGGCTGAGGCGGTGGAACCTCCACACGGTTTGCACTTTCAACGTTCATTCCCGAAGGGTACACACAATCTACGTTACCCATGTCTTCAACACACACACACAACAGTATTCACAAGTTTTCTTTACATATGGGAGTGTTGAGACTGAAGTGGAGTTGTTAATGATATGGGTTTATATAAGGGCTTTTATGGGGCAATTGGGCATGGTAATTTTGTCCATGTGTGTGTGGAAAAGATTCTCTTGAAATATTTAGTGCGCTATGATGGACCCACTTAAGGTCACGAGGTTAGTGGGGAGGCTACACAAACACGTCCTTTTATTCTCTGAAATGTATTGTGAAGTCTGGACCTGCCCGCCTCGTGCTATATATTTTGATTTTCTTATTTGTGATATGAATCACATAATGCTCATAATAATTTGTGTGCCAAACAAGGTGGAAGCAAAATCAAGGAAGGTCACGCATCTTGTTTGCGAGTTTGGAATATGGCTCTTCACTCTTGAGTCCTGAGTCCCTACAATTGTAAGTTGAACCTTTCACCCAATTAAGTGACGTGGTATGGCACCGTTTACGGAATGTGTTTGACGGTTTGTTTGGTAGTTTTGTCGATTTTATGTCCGATAATTTTTTGTTTTTTAATAAAAGATGTTTAAGTGAATCAACCTAATATAAACTACCCAAAAATTTTACCATATTATTTTTAGTTTATTATTTGAGAAATAGAAAAAAAATAAAAAAAAGTTAAATAATATGCACACACAAAACTTGAGATTTTTTTTTTTGATTTAAGTGGAGGAGAAATCGTACGATGTGTTAGGTAAATATCCTAAGAAGCATATATATAAATAAACACTATTTTATTACGATTAAACTTATATTAAACTGCTATTTGTTGATAAAGTTTACACTCGTTCTACCGGTAGCTATTGCTAGTGTTGAGCGAGTTTTTTCTGCAATGACTTTTGTTAAGGATAAGTTGCACAATCGGATAAGTGATGATTGGTTTAACGCATGCATGCTAACTTATGTTGAACGTGATATATTTGATAAGATTGATGATGAAGATATAATGCAATATTTTCAAGGAATGAAGAATCGAAGAATGCTTTTGTGATCATTCTATTGTAACAGCTTAGTTGACTCTTGATTTTTTTTTTATGTTAAGTTAAAGTTTTCTTTTCTTTTCTTGTTTATATTTTTTTAATACATTTAAATTTTTCTTTAAAAAAAATCTATATTAATTCAGTCTATATTAATTTAAATTATTTTATTAATTAATTATTTTTAGGAGTGTTAATTAATTTAATTTGATTTAGTTTAAGTAAGTTAATTTTTTTTGAATCGTTAAATAATGTAATTTATTTTAGGAGTGTTAATGAATTAAATGTAATTTATATATGTTAATTATTTTAGTTTAATCGATATTAATTTAAATTATTTTATGACACAAACGTAACATGCTATGCTGCATAACACATTTTTCACATGTCAGAATTGCCACGTGTCAGAAGCTGACTAAACATGTTATGCTGCATAGCATGTTTGATGTCACGTAATCGATTTACGTGGCCATGCACCTTTTGCCACGTGTCAACACCTGACTCGCCAGGTGTTGTAGGAGTTAGGTGACATGGCATTTTGAAAAAAAAAAAATACAAAGCGTGACATTTAGGTAATTTTTTGCAAAATGACACTTTGGTCATTGTCCCTTATTCAAATCATTCCAATAGAAGTATAAATGGCCAGGCTGCATATCAAAGGATATATATATATATATATATATATATATATATATATATATATATATATATATATATATATATATATAACCCAACCCTAATTACTTTTTTTAGGTTAGTTAGCTCCTCTCAGTATTCTCACAAGTTTTGACTTTTTTGAGTCGGCTATGAGACTAATCTGGAGTGCATGGTGAGTCAGGGATGAAGATATTTAAATTCCTCACAAATATGACATGTAGGGATCGATCCGAGGCCATTTTCTTTCAACTTACTCAACTCTCTTGTTACCAACTGAGCTACCATCATTTGGTCAAGGGCATACAATTTGATTTACTTTTGACTTGACTTGACATGACTTGTTTTGGAAATAGTATAAAATTGAGCTCATTAAAAGATTTATTTTGAAAGACCTAGCCTATATATTTTAATAAAATAATATTTTATTATATTTTATCTTTTCTAACCCTCCTTTAAACACCTATGCTTCTTCTAACCTAATTCTTTTACCCATCTCTACCGCAATTTTTTAGAAAACACATATCTTATTAACCCTAAATTCCTTAGTTGCCATCACTTGATCCATCCACAACCAATATCCCAATTTTCTTTTTTATTGAGTGGGGTTATTTAATACATGAATGAGCCAATACGCTTGTTTATTTTGAAATTTAATTAAATCTTCTGCAACATTGTCATTATTTATTTTATTATTTTAGCAAAATAATAAAATTGCTAATATTTTGGGTTGCGGTGTGATTTTAGCTATTTGTTCTAGGGGAAGGATATTATGACAACCAAGTTGTGTTACTACCAAGTGACTACCAATCAATCTTACCATTAGATCGATTATATTGATCCAACGGTTATATTTATTTCCATCTTTGTATGGTCATGATTTCTCAAATTTAATTCTTTATATTTATTTTCACCTTTGTATGGTTATGATTTTCCATATTTAATGTTTCCACTTTAAATATGGGGAATCATGACCATACAAAGATGGAAATAAATATAATCGTTGGATCAATATAATTGATCTAACGGTGAGATTGATTGGTAGTCACTTGGTAGTAACACAACTTGGTTGTCACAATATCCTTCCCCTTCGTTCTATTTTGAATTTTCATCAACTTAAACATACAAAACAAACAAAGTAATCATAGCCTATAATTTATATATGAGGGTCTTTTTTGAATTTGTGATGGATCACGATTTCAACTAAATGAGTCCACTTTGAATTTCTTAGGGACCTCAAAACTATTTTTTTTTGTAAAGAACTTCTTACGATGTAAAGGAAGAGAAGGACGATTCATATCGGTGGAAAGGAAAAATGAATTAATTAATTGAAGTTGTTAACTGTACACATATATATAACTACATGTTAAACTAACTAACTAACAGAATTAGTTCTAATGGGCCTAATGGGCCAGCAACAAATTGAACATATATCAACACCCCCCCTCAAGTTGGGAGGTGTATGTTTAACAATCCCAACTTGCTCAAGAAAACGTGAAAGGGAGCTGGATGTAAAGCTTTGGTGAAAGGATCAGCCAATTGCTGGGAAGAGGAGATAGGCAGCAAATGAATGAGCCCAGCTGCAATCTTTTCACGTGTTACGTGACAGTCAAGTTCAATATGCTTGCTACGTTCATGGAACGAAGGATTGTGGGCCAAATGGATAGCAGCTTGATTATCACAGTAGACCATAGCAGGAGAAGAAAAGGGAACTCGTAAATCCTGTAGAAGGAATGCAAGCCATTGTATCTCACAAGTGAGAGTAGCTAAAGCTCTATATTCAGCCTCGGTAGAATAACGGCTAACAGTAGTTTGTTTCTTGGACTTCCATGAGATTAAGGAGGATCCTAAGAACACACAGAAGCCAGTAGTTGATCGGCGTGTATCTGGGCATGTGGCCCAGTCAGCATCCGTAAATCCACGAAGAGATAACTGAGTCTGTGAGGAAAAGAATAAACCCTTTGCTGGACACCCTTTCAAGTAACGAAGAACTCTACAAGCTGCAAGAAAATGAGCCTCCATGGGGTTGGCAACGAACTGACTCAATTGCTGAACAGCAAATGAGATATCTGGACGTGTATTGGTTAAGTACAACAGTCGTCCTACCAACCTGCGATAACTAGCAGGATCAGAACATGGCTTCCCCTCATTCTGTTTCAATCTGACATGGGGATCCATAGGAGTGGATGCAGGTTTGGCTCCAAGTAATCCGCTATCATTGAGGAGCTCTAGTGTGTACTTCCTCTGGTTGAGCACCAAACCTTTGCTGGATCTTGCTACTTCAAGCCCAAGGAAAAATTTTAAAGGTCCAAGATCCTTTATGCGAAACAAATCATCCAGGTGATGCTTAACAGATGTGATTTCCTCCATATCAGTACCAGCCAAGATCATGTCATCTACATAAACAAGGAGGGTTGTGAAAGACTCACCTTTAGCCTTGATGAAGAGAGAATGGTCACCAGAAGATTGTGAGTAGCCTAGAGCCTTCAATGCAGTGGTTAATTTGGCATTCCATTGTCTGCTAGCCTGCTTTAACCCATATAGGGACTTTGTAAGTTTGCATACATGCTGTGAACTAGGGGCTTGAACTCCTTCAGGTACCTTCATGTAGACTTCTTCAAACAAGTCTCCATGCAAGAAGGCATTATTGATGTCAAGTTGCTCAAGATGCCAATGACTGGCAGAAGCCAAAGAAAGCAATAATCTGATGGTGGTTAACTTTGCGACTGGGGAGAAAGTTTCAAAATAATCAACCCCCTCCATTTGATTATAACCTTTTGCTACTAGCCGTGCTTTGTAGCGAGATATGGTGCCATCAGGGTGGTGTTTAATTTTAAAAACCCACTTGGATCCTATGGGACGCTTTCCTTTGGGCAGTTCAACAAAACTCCAGGTCTGATTATGATTAAGGGCTGTAATTTCCTCATTCATAGCAGAAATCCATTCAGGAAATTGAGCTGCTTGCTTGTAGTTTAGAGGTTCAACAGAGGAACTAATGTTGTGACAGAAAGAGGTATGGTTAAGGGAACACTTGTTATAAGAGACCACAGAAGATATGGGATAGGAACATGAAGCAGAAATGTTGCATTTGTAGTCTGCCAAATGTTTGGGTTGAATCCTGGTCCTTTCAGAACGCCTTAGTACTGGTGGAGAAGGATGGCTGGCATCAAAAATGTTAGGGTCTGGTATAGTGTCATGGGGAACTAAAGAACTGGGATAGGAGCTGTTATTTTCAGAAGAATCAGCAATGACAATGTCTGGAATAGGAGGAGTAGCTGCAGTGTTTGGTCTCTCTCGAAGGACAGGAAGGATAGTAGGTGGTTGTGTAAT